GCAAGTAAATTATCAGCGGCTCGTGTAAAGTGTGTGGTATGATTGCCTGTCACAGGTGAGGACAGCCCCTACCCGCCATGCTGCCTTCCACACGGGGGGAGACCCAGCCTGAGTGACGATGGGGGCCGGCAGGGAGGGAGGGAAGGTCGATCTGTCAGGTCTTTATCCCCGTGCTATGCGCTGCTTTCCATGGGACAGCTATGAGGCATGGGTCCTGCTACCAGGAAGAGGCACGGCCTTGTGAACACACAGCCTAGTCTAGGCTCTGGAATCTCCCAGTAATGGCAGCGGGCCTGGCTTTGGTGGAGGTCGAGACCTACAGGAAATTCCAGCCAGTTAAGTGACAAAAGGGAAGACATGTGACAACTGCCACGTGGTGGGTGCGTGTGAATGGCACAGCCACAGGGAAACAGCAGAGTAGACTTTAACGCTCCAGATGTGCACACCTGTGTGTGTGTGCGCACACCTGCACTCATGAGAGACAGAAAGTGAGAAAGTGTGTCCATGCCACAGTCCCTTCACCTCCATTCTCTTCCTGGGATTTTGGGCACACACATGCGCCCAACGTGAGTTTCAAGTCGCTTGGTCCAGGACTTGAATCATAATCAGCCACGTGGGACTCCAGCACCTTAACCATCAGGCTGCCTGCTGGCCCCAGTGTTTGTGCTTTATAAATGAAGAGAGAGTGTTAGATGGGAGGGCAGTGGGACAGCCAAGGTCCTGTCTCAGTGTGTCCTGACGGGACTGTGATTAACGCCATTCTATTTTCTTGAGGTCCGGTTTCAAAAGTCTTGAGAAAAGCTTTCTGGACCTTAATTTGGGGGTGAGGGATTTAACGGGGGCTTGAGCAAGTGGAGTTGAAATCCTTGGACCATTTCCTCGGCTGTGAACTGGGCACGAGACTGCCTGCCCAGGTGGCCAGGGTGGATGGGAGGGAGCTTCTCCGCAAGCATCCGGCGGCAGGTCCTCCCAGGCCCTCACTTCTTTTTCACCAGGGAGTGAATTCGGAAGGCAAGTTGGGCACACCCTCTTCTCTCCCTCGGTGCCAACCCACTGCAGGAAGCTCAGCAGAGGGGCAAACGGCGGCCTGGAGGGTGTTCCACTTGATGGGTAGCACGGCACCAGCCGCCGGACCACGCAGAATCAGCTTCCGTAATCTCTCTACCTCCCTGGTTTGTCTGGATGCAGGGAAGGACGAGCGAGGGGCCCTGAGCCCTCTGAGATAGACCCAGAAGGGGGAGGGAACCCCTGGCACTCTGTCCACGGCTGTCACTCCCTTCCCTTGCTTGCTGCCTCACTCAGAGTCGCGATTCCAAAGGGGATACCGAAGAGCCCACCTGAGGGGTCTGGGACCTGTGCCCGGGGGCGGGGAGAGGCGAGCGTGTCCCCTGGTTCTGGCAGGCTGGTGACATCCTGTTCCACGACACTTGATGTCATGCAAACGACCACCCCCCTTGCAAGTTGGCACAGACTATTAAAGTGTGTTATTCATGGGACCAGCTGATGGCAGCATGGTTGCGTCGCGGGACTCCCATAGAGTTGACTATAGTTCAAGTCCTGGACTCGGCAGCTTAAAACTCACACTGGGTGCGTGTGTGTGCCCAAAAGCCCAAAAGGAGAATGGAAGAGAAGGGACTGTGAGGGGGCCATCCCCCCTGGAGGGTGATTTCTTGCTTCTGTCTCTCTGTCTCAGTCTCTCCAGTAAGCACACACACCCTACAGAAAAAAAAGTCTCAAATAAATAAATGAAGTGTGTTATTCACAAATGAAGTGTGATGTGCTGTTAGAGTGTCCTGGTCACCCCAATTCAGGGTTCTCCCAAAAGCCTGGCTGCCTTGGTACCCTTGGCAACATGGTAAATACGCACAAGTGTTTACCAAAGGCCTACTACGCACCAATGAGCATTTATGGGGGGCCAACTATGGGGTACATCACTAAACAAAACAGGGAAAATAAAGCAAGTCCCCACCTTCAGGAAATTCACATTCTAGTCAGGGACTTTTTTATAGAATTTTTTATTTTATTTATTATTATTATCATTATTTTTTTTATTTGCTATAGGGCATGTGCACTCAGCAGAGAGAGAAAAATGAGAAAGCAAGCCACCAGGTCTGGGACTCAAACCACAGTCAGCCACATGGAAGTCCCATGCCTTAATCACCATGCCACCTTCTGACTCCATGCTGGCCTGTCTTTTAACAGGGGTTACGAAGGGTGAGTGCAGGAGCCACAGAGATTTAAACTCAGCATTGCTCTTCCTGGCAAAATAATAAAACAAGCACAGTTTTTGTTCCTTTCCAAACTGCTGTGCTCACGTCCCTCTTTCTGCATCGTGGTTGTGCTTCTCTTAGCTGGTGTCTCCACCTGGGCCTCCTCTTTGGCCTGGACCACAGAGAGGCAGGGTTTGGGAATGAGAAATATTTTCCTCTCGTGCTTGCTGGCTTGGGAAAACTGGAAAGGGCCCACCTGGCTCCCAGGGTTTCTAAAAATAGCAAGCTTCCCTATAGATTTGGCTTAGCTGTTCTTTCTCCTCGGTCCAAGACGCCGTTCCTATTAGAGCATCACTCGCTGCACATGCAAATGAAGGGCGGCAGGAGTGAGATCTGAATGGAAGAAAATCAACAGGGACCTGCCACTGCCGGGCTCCAGAAATGACAGTGCAGAGACCCAGACAGCACGTGCAGCCGACGGACGCTGCCCACAGGGCAGAGACGGTCCCTTCTGCCCCCACCCAATGCATTCCAGTGCTCAGGACAGGAGGCTGGGCAGGAGGTGGAGGGTTTGTGTCCAAGGCCAAGACTGGGGGCTGAATCCTTTTGGGCAAGGGCTGAGGACTGTCTAGGACAGGGTTTCTGGGACCCTGGGCACAAGCGTGTTTGCTACGGGACCAGTGGTGGGCTGGCTTAGCAACCAACTCTCTGGGAAATGCACACGTGTGTATGCATGCTCACACACAGGCACACACACACACACATATTTACTTGGGTCTACTCTGTGTAGCACACAATTTACAAATAAAAGTGAAATCATACTTGGGGGGGCGGACAGTGGCACTGCAGTAAGATGTGACACTCTGCGGGACCAGCAGTTAGCATAATGGCTATGTCGCTAGACTCCCACGTAGTCAACTGTGGTTCGAGTCCCAGACCCAGTGGCTTAAACTCACATGGGGCGCATGTGCGTGCATGCCCAAGATCCTGAAAGGAGAATGGAGGAGAAGGGATTGTGGCATGGCCATCCCCCCCCCAGGGGGGATGCCCCCCCCCCCCCCCAGGGGGGGAGGGGGTAGGAGTGATTTCTCGCTTTCTGTCTCTCTGTCTCCTTCTGTCTTTCTGGTGAGCACACGCACCCTATAGCAAAAACCTCTCCAAAAAAATTAATAAATAAAAACAAAAAACGTGACGCTCCGCAAGGCTGACCCACATGGGAAGATTCTGGGCTCACATCCAGAGGCCCGTCTGAGTGCTCCGGGCACACACAAGCCAGAGCTGGCTGAGGCTGGGGGTGGGTTGTGGCATGAGGAGCCTGTGAAGGGGAGCTGTCTCTCTCTCTCTTTCTCTCTCTGACTCTCTCTGTCTCTCTTGCTCATGTAAGAAGTAAATAAGAAAAACTTTTTAAAAATGTTACCATACTCTTTTTTTGTAAATTTCATATAATCAATTCATTTGCACAGAATGGTTTTATGGATTTTTATCCCTACATCTTGTAGTCAGCCTCTGGTTACAACTGATGCAGCAGGATGGTCCTTCCAGAATACTGGCTGCCAGTTTCCCTTACCTTAAGGAGTAAGATGACAGTGAATCCACAAAGAAGGCGAGTGAACTTTGGTCACCAACGAAGTAAGCAGCCCTCTACCTTGGGTGCTGTTCATCATGTAAAGCCACCAAAATAACACGCTTTCAAATATTTAATCTCCCTCACTTTCTCAAAACTACAACAGAGCAACAAATCAAGCCCTGAACTGGACTGTCTGCCGATTTCCATGGTGTAAATACCTCCATCACTGCTGATCTCCAGCCCGAGGCGACTCGTGGAAGCGGAGTGGGGAAGAGACGTGACGGCTCGTGCTGTACAACGTTCCCACCACACAGACACACAGCGGTAAACCTCGGGAGCACAGCTCACAGGGAAAGGTGGTTTTAAAAATGGGAAGGGACCAGCAGTTAGAGTAATGTCTATGTCGCAGGACTCCCATGTAGTTGACCGCAGTTTGCGTCCCGGATCCGGTGGCTTAAACTCACACTCTGCGCGTGTGCGTGCGTGCCCAAGATCCCGAGAGGAGAATGGAGGAGAAGGGATTGCGGTGTGACCATCCCCCCTGGGGGGTGATTTCTCGCTTTCTGTCTCTATGTCTTCGAGAGGGCGTGCCCCCTAGCAAAAAAATCTCCAAAAAAAAAAAAAGAAAAAAAGTAGAAAATTTTTTAAAAAATGGGAAGTGAAGCGTTGTGAGCACTTGTTATCTTTGTTTTCAATAGAATGTAAGTTTATATCATTTCGTTTTTAATAATGACTGTGTTTAGCAACCAATTCAACCAACTTTCTAAAAATCTGACAGATAGTTTTCACAAGCTGGTTGAAGCTGGCTCCTGCACGCCACCCAATGGGGACCACGTGGCGGAGAATGTCACCGAGTAGGGGAGAAAGCCATTCTCTTCATGTCTGCTCTGAACCTGAGCCTCTCGGGCGCTAAAGACGGGCCACTCTGGGGGTTTCCAGAGACGGCGATGTGGAGTCTGGTGTGCTCAGAACAGGCAGGGAAGCTCCTCCCACTGGCCTTAGGGACAAGAGGAAGAAAGAGGGACAAATAGGACAGGTGACCAGTTTGTGAGCTGCCCCTGTGGAGCTCCCCAGAAAGGACGGGGGCCCAGAAGAGGGCCAGGGTTCCCATGTTGAATAGGTGTGGACTACCACCAGCAACCACCCGGGGCAGGTCACGCGGCTCAGAACCGCGCTGTACCCCGCACTCTTCCGACAGCTCGGGCTTTCCAGGAGCTGCACGAGAGGCTGCCAGCCGGCGCTGGCATCAGTGACGATGGCGCTGCAGGCCGCTGCCAGCCTCCAAGCCTCCTTCCATCCCACCCCTCCCAGTGCCCCAGGGAATTCGTGGGAGATCTCCCCCTCTCTTCCCTTCCGTGTGACTCTCAGACACCCCCACCCCCACCCTGTTTCCAACCTAAGTGCCCTTCCACCAGCCACAGGATCTCAGAGTTGCAGAGACTTCTAAGATTTTCCAAAATATATTTTTTTCTTTTGAAGATGAGAAAACAGAGGCTGAAGGAAGGGAAGAGACTTACTCAAGGTCACAAAAATATCCAGGGCAGAACTGGGTATGGTGACCGTTTGTCCGGGCTTCCCTGGGATTGTGGGGGGGTTTCTGGAAGAAGTTGCTCGCCTAGAGCTGGGACCACAACTCGGGTCTCAACTTGTCCCAAGGCAGGGGTGGTCAGAGCCAGTCCCTGGGAGGGAAGGAGGCCTGGGTCAGCAGAGTTGCAGGATGGAATTTTCCAAGGGAAAGGCAGAGGAGGTCACATCTGGGCGCTGGGACCTTCGCCTGGGCCGACGCTTGGCGCCCTGGGGCGTCCCACCTGCTGCGGCCCCGTATCTATTTCCTGGCCCCTGACCGCATGCTGCACCCGCCTGCTCAGTGCCAGGAGCCAGTCGCCGCTGTGTGTGCATCTTATCTCAGCCCTGCCAGCCCGGAGCGGGGATGCACATGCACACAGCCCACGGCCACATTAATATGTGATTCCCCCCGGGAGCGTGTGGAGCACTGTATGCGTTTCACAATCCTGTTTCGTCCCAACGAGCTGCACAGCCCAGATGATTTGAAACAGATTTTTGAAAAGGCAAAATAAAGCTGGAACCAAACCTAGGAGAGGCATCTACCACTCTCCCCACCCCGGCTCTCCCTCTCGCCACTCCTGACTTTAACCCTCTTCCCTCACACCCCAGGAGCCTCCTGCATCAACAGGCCATGAGCCAAGAAAAATTGCATTGGGCACCGGTCACTCAAGCCAGGAGCCCTGCCCCGTCCTGGGCAGTGTCCCCCAGCCTGGGCTGACACGTCATCCAGGCAGTGGAAGGTTGCGTGCCAGCTTCCAGCCTGTTGCCTCCTCTGTCCAATGTTGCTGCCTCCCTCCATAAATACCATCTCTGTCGCCCTGCCCCAGGGAGCATCGCCGAAGCAGAGAACAGAGTAGAGATCAAAGTCAAATCCGAAAGTCCTAAGTCTGATTTTTCTTCTCTGCCACGGATGGGCTGTGTGACCCTGGACAAGTCACTTCATTTCTCTGAGCCGCTGTTTCCTCAGGGCAGCATGAGGATAATAATAACAGCTCCCCCATAGAAAAGCTGTGCAGGTTCTCTTGCTAAAGCTTCAGGGATGCCTAGCACAGTGCCTGGTACATAGCACCAGAAATAGCCGTTAGAGCAAGGCTCTGCTAAGACCACCTAACCCAACCACTCCACTTTAGAGAAGGACAAGTGGAGGCCCCGAAAAGGCGAAGAACTTCCCAAAGCCAGCAAGATGCTGCTATCCCGTCCCCGTCTTGACCCAGGTGCCTTGGAGCTCCGGGGGGATGTGAGGAGTTGCTCACACCCTCACCGCCCTCTAGGCGTCTGGTCCACACACAGCCAGCACCTCCGCGGGCTGCGCACACAGGGAGCTTCCCCACTCACCATGGAGCTGGTCTGGACATGAGGTCCGGGCTCACAGTTCTGCAGCTGTCTTGTCGTCTACCACTGCAAGCGTGCAGCTCCCATCCGCAGGACTGCAGGGGTCCCGCTAGGGCTCAAAAGCGTCCATGAACTGGATGCCAGGAGCTGAGACTTGCCTCCGAGGATCCCACTGTGCCTCGTCTTCCTTCTGGGGCAGGGGACAGCGCTCTGTCTGCCTCTGATAAAACAGCCCGGCTCTTATCTGCCAGAGTCAGGGTCCGGCTGGCCCTCCGAGGAGCTGGGGTTCCAGGAAGCACTCAGCCCGTTTTGCTGCCCCCGGATGCTGCCTGTGCTCTGAACACAGCCGATTGCCTGTCAGTGTGTCACTCTGAGCCCTGCCAGGGAGAACTCCGCGCTGGCCCCCAGCAGGCGGGGCCCCCACCCCTTCACATCCCACTCCCCACTCCCATCTTGGCAAGGGGACTGGGAAAAGGCAGCTAATTTCAAGTCCACACAGCGTCTGTGGTCGTGTCCTGAATCCTCCACGATTAATCACGGAGCATCTGATTTCTGCTTTGCCTCAGAGGGGGGGCGGAGGGGACGCCTGGAAGTTTCTGTTTACTCCATTCTGCACCAGGGCGGTGTTAATCACAAACAGCCAGGGACGCAGCCTACCCCGGAGTCTGCTCTCGGCCACCCTCCCTCCTCCAGCCCTCTCTTACCTTGCCCTTTTTCTGTCCCTTCCTCACCCTTCCTGCCTTCCCTCCCTTCTTTGCTCTTTCCCATCTGCCCCCCTCCCCCCTCTGCACCCGGATCCAGTGCTTTACACGCCCCTTCCTCTGGTTCTGGGTTTCCCCAAGCACCCTCTCCCCTCTGCACCTCCTACTTCTCCTAGGTCGCAAATATGCCTGGCCCTTTTCCTTGACACCCTTACCGTGTGTGCTCGGGCGCTTTTTTATAAACAACCTAATTATTTGGGGGCCTGGGGTGGGTGGGCCCCACCCCAGGTCCTGCCCCATTTCTGTGTGTGTACAACTTCTGCAAACTTAACAGTGTCTTTGAGTCAAGGGGTGGGCTCCAGACTGGCAACTCCTTTTGTCAACTCAGCACATCTTGGCTTTCTGAGTCTGCCTGGGATGGACCCAGGAACAAAGCCCCCATTTACTGCTGCTGGAGGAGAGGCCGTGGCAGCACATCCAGCGCCTCGGAACACCTAGAGCAGTTCCCACTCCCTCCCCTTGGCTCCTTTCCACCCTGCAGCCAGTGCAGAAAAGGGACTAGGATGAGACAACCCAAAACGACACCCCTCCCTGTGGCAGCGCACGACACTGCGAAGGGTAATGCGGCAAAGTCTTTGAGAAACTGAAATGAGCATCTCCTATCAGCCGGACACCACCTCCCTGGACGCCGAAGGAGGCAGGCTCAGAGCTGTGCGCTGAGAGCTGTGTCTATACCCAGCAAATACTGCCTGGTCGGATACAACAGGAGAGTCCTATCGTGGTGTGCCCAGCAGGGTTTAAAAAGAGCCATCTCTGCTCCAGCTAGTGGCCTAGAAGTTAAGGCAGCTGGATGCCACATGGCTAATTGAGTAGATAGAGTCCCAGACCTGGGAGCTTGAAAAACACACCTGGCATGCATGGATGTATCCCCAAAATCCCCAGAGGAAACTGGAGAAGGGACTGCAGCATAGCCATCGTCATAGTGTGGGGGGTGCTTTCTCACTTTCCCTCTCTTTCTCTCTGGCAAGCACGTAAGCACTAAAGCAAAAAAAAAAAAAAATTTTTTTTTTCATTTTTAAAATTTAAAAATTAATTTTAAATTAATGTTTTAAAAATTATCATAGAAAAGAGCTATCTCTGTATGTAACAACAAGTGTGGGTCCCCAAGCCATTACTGAGTGAAAAGCAGGTCTGTTGAGAGATTTAGCATACGCCTGGTGGTGTGCTGTCCCTCCGTAATACGCGTGCAAGAGAGAGTGCTCCAAGAAGCTCGTGGAAAACGCATATTATGAAGAAATTATACATGAGTTTCAATTTTTTTGTTTTTGCCTCAAAATAAAGTTGCACCTTCATTCCATTTATCCACAAACTTTTTGAAGTCCTCTCAGCTAAAGCCAGAAAGATAGGCTAGAAGGATGTAAACTACACTGCGTTGTCACGTCTGGGAAAGGGTTTGGGTGTGGTGCTCTTACCTGGAATAGTTTCATCTCTAAAAGTGAAAAGGGACTGGCCTCTACCTTGTCTCCAAACAGCTTTCTTCTTAACGGACTCTGCACCCCTTGTGGGGGGAAAATGACTCCCAAATCATTTGTCTCCTTGAACTAACTCAAAGAACTTAATAGCAGGTCAGGTCAGTAATAAACCACGGTCCTTAGGAGCGAATGCAGAAAGTCCGCAAATACACAATCGTGCAAAACTCACCTCCAGGTGGGTGTTTAGACCCTGGAGCCAGCAGTGACTGACTACAGACGGCAACTCCTCCAGGCCAGGAGGGCTGGCCGGTTACTGCGCAGTGGGCTGGGGTCTCCAGAAATGGGGAAAGCAGACAGTACCAGAGAGCGATGGGGGGTTCAGGAGGCAGCGCCACCTACTCCAACTTGTAGACCACTGACAGCATTTGAGAGCACCTTAAAGGAATGAGCCTAAACGAGTACAGACATTATGAACAGGTAGTTTCAGGCCAGCCATGTCCCTCTTCCTCACTGTGCAGATGGCCACGTGTGCGGCCCGCCCCACACAGAGGGCCGTGGGTTCCGAAAGGTGCTGACTCGCTGCTGTCCACAGACTCTCCAGTGCCCTCGCTCCTCACTGGTCAAATGCCTACTGCTTCAGGATCTCAGCTTGGGAGCGGGTGTCTCCACAGCCTGGCAGGTCCCCAGCCCCAACCTCCGTCCTTCAGGGCAGGAGGAAGCTCCAGTTTTGGAGCCTGGAGGCTGCAGACTTGGGGGTTCCCAGCCACCTGGGGATGTGGCATGGGCAGACCATGCAGTGTTTTCCACAGAGGGGCTCACACAGGGTGGTGCCCAAGCTGACCGTAGGGGACGCGCAGACTGGACGCTCGCCCATGCTGCCACTCATGGGGCAGTCTTTTTGCTCCCATGGCTTTCTCTCGCGATCCCACTTGGCCTGGGAGAAAGTTTCCCTGAAGGCAAGTCTGCCTTTCATGCCACTCTGCCTTTTGAACAGAGAGGGCAGGCCCCGGGCGTGGGACGTCCCCTGCCCAAAGCATCAGCTAACCTGTGTCGAGCAGGTGACAATGATTTTTCATAGACACTTCCCTATTTTTAAATTTTTAAAATGTTTTTGCCACAGGGTGCACATGCTCACCAGAGAGAGGCAGAGAGAGGGAAAGTGAAAAGTCACCCTTCTCCACCGTTATCCTGAGATTTGGGGCCACACACACATGCTCTTGGTGTGATTTTCAAGCCACCAAGTCTGGGACTTGAACTATGGTCAGCCATGTGAGAGTCCAACACCTTAACCACTATGCCACCTGCTGGTCTCTTATTTTTTATCTTAAGTTTATTTATTTATTACTTCCATGAGTGAAAGAGACAGAGAAAGACTGAGTAAAACAGAGACAGTAGACACCACAGGGTCCTGATGCCACAACCCACCCCAGCCGCGGCCAGCCCTGGTCAGGGGCACACGCAGATGCCGGCCCAGAACTTCCCATGTGCGTCCGCCTCAAAAGCATCCCATTTTACCACCACACCACTGTCCTGCCCTCTGGTTTTAATCTTCTAAAGCTAAAAAGTGAGCCCGCCAGATAAGAGAAAGCTAACATTTCCTAATAAAGCATACAGTTTAGCTAATAAACATGTATCGGTATTGGCTCATGGGGCCAGCAGATGGTGTGGTGGTTAGGGTGATGGACTCCCACATGGCTGACTACAGTTTGCGTCCTGGACTTAGAGGCTTGAAAATCACATCGCTCTAGGGCCAAAAGATATATATGCATACGTGTATAAGCTTGTTGGTTGTGACAACGTGAACCGTTAAGGAAAACGATATAAAATTAGTGCAGGACGGAGAGCAGCCCTCTGTGCCACCTTTACAACTTTGCTGTAAATCTTCCACCACTCTAAGACACAAAGCTTACTCCAGTATCTTGAATGGGCCTAGGGGGAAAAAAAGTCCGTGTTGTTTTTAAATATATTGGGTCATCGGGAAAGTCATGACGTATTTTTCTGGTTTTCTATGCAAAAATGCATCATGACTGTTCCAACGACCCAGTACAAACGGGGAGAAATAGAGAAAATGAGGAAGTAGCGAGTGTTAGCAAGCGGGGAGTCTGAAGGAGCCTGAAGGAGGGATACAGGGATGTTTTTGCACCATTCTTCGGCTTTCCTGTAGGTTTGAACGTTCTCAAAATAAAAGGTTGGAGGAGGTAGTGAATTGACTTAAGAGCATAAGAGCCCATGGGGC